TTTAAGAGAATTTTTCGTAATGGACCACTAGACTAGGTACGAATTTCAGCATTCTGCTACATGTTTCTCAACCAAAATTTCACGTAAAATGCGATGCGCATAGCAAGAGTTACCGAAATCAACTCCTTACGAAGATATTTAATGATTCATGATGCGTGAATTCAAACCGCCCGCTCACGAAAACTCAATGCTCTACGTGTTTCACATCGCGCGCTAAACTTTCATCATGATAGTCTCTGCAATATAAAAATCTGGAAGCCTCAATCTTGACGGTTTGGCTCAGCTGTAGCAAATTTCTTGTGGTTTTAACAACATATAATGGGGAATGAACATTGCTCGATGGAGAAGCTTGCTGAAACCGTTGTAGTGCGCGATTTGACTCGAGTAGAGCTTTGAGTTTCTTGTGAGCGGGCAGTTCAAATTCCTCGTAACCAATGTGAAATAAAAACGTTGAAATCTTCGTTAGGAGTTAGTTTCAGTAATATTCGTTGCGCTAATCGTGTTCTACGTGAAATTCTGGTAAGAAACATGTATCAAATTGCTTAAATTCGTACCTTGTCTAGTGGTCCATTAGATCTGAAGTGTCTGAAAATGCGAAGGAAAAATATTCATATAACTTTCTTCAAAAATAAATATTTTATGAGAGAAATTTTGGCAACATTCGAACGCTCATACTGCGTTTTTCCTTAGCACGGCAGTGCGCACATCATATTCCGGGCGTCATTCAACCAGTGAAGCGTGTGTGTTACAACGAGTGTAGATTCTCCTTCAATTTGTTACATGCCAACATGCACCTTGCAGTGGCGAGGCCTGAACGATCGATTATCGATATTTCCCCATTTGAAGCTATGATAAAGAATCGCTCATTAAGGTGTTCGTTGCGAACACCCTGCTAATCGATATTCTTCCATAGGTGTAAATGGCAGATCAATCGATTTATCGCAAAGCACGCCACGCCACTGGCACCATGGTCCTGAGAACCCGATACTCTATCGAGTGGCCACACGGAAACATACACTCTAGAGCTTTCAACAACTTCGGTGTGAATGAGACAGAATATTGATATACATGGGGAGAGAAACTTGGGGTTTATATAGAACACCGAGGTCCTTTGGTAGTTTTACACGAAATGAGCTGACTATATTTCAATTTTGCCAAATTTTCCAGCGCAAAATGATGCCTTACCAGGGGAATCTCGGAAATTTATATCTGAAAATTACACTGGTTTTTCATTTATTCCCGTACAAAAATCAGTCAAATTTTCAACGGAAATCGAGTAGGTACACTCTTGAAAACCATTTACGCTACTTTATCGCGTTTTTTATGCGCGCATCGTTTTTTACGCGTTATTTACCGTAGGGAAAGTGTATTGGCTAGTCGAAATTTGCTGAAGCTTTAGTGATTTATTAATCATTTTTTGGACGCAACAAGTATTCCCCAGTGTATCCAGCAACAGCTGCCGAGAAATAACCTTTCCTCGATGTAAAGAACCCGATTTTTGTCAAAGCCGGAAAATTCAAAACATGCAATTTCACTTTCCACCCCTTCTCTGCCGTATGTAAACACGAAAGCCCCATGCGCTCGCAGCAGGACGTCGCTAAACGCCCGCCGGTCCATCGCCCGTTCCGAAAAGGCGAGGATCTGAATAACTGCACGCTTTCCGTTTCGCCCCTGCCCAGAAGGGGGGCCAAAAGCGTACATTATTTTTCTCATTTCCTTTATTTCGGGGGCAAAATTCACGCGTGCATCCTAGCACCCTTCCACCCTTCCCCTCATTATTCTCCCGGCACCGCCCGCACCCGCGTCCTAAGGGAAAACACAGTATGTGCTTTCGAACTTTGCCACATTTCCTCTCATAAAATGATAATTTCACTAAGGACTTGCCATTTTTTCCATTTTGTCGAGATTTTTGGTCGCAGTTTTATCCATAGCACAGTAGAATTTTGATAATCCACGATTCGGACTATCCGCGGGATTTTTTAGTGCCTCATTTTCTTTGAGACGACGGATTGGATCGCAGCTGAAAAAGTTGCAATTATGTGGCGCTAACTTTTATTTAAAAAAAAAAATCGTTCAGAATGATGTTCGCCAAAATAACTTCCTTTGAGATCAATAAAAACTTTACGCGCAAGTGACTATAGTGTTTTATTATTAGTTTTCTTGTGCGAGTCTCCAAAAAGAAACATTTTGTTGACTTCCTATGGAGTCTGGAATTATTATTTATATAAAGCCTCTACGGCAGAAGAGCGATAATTTATTCGTAAGCAAGCGTTTTTTGTTTTTTTTTTTAAAACAAATTCGAAACTATTTCTACGGGGCATGATGTTGCAAATTTATCAACGCTTTTTTTTAAAAAGAATGATCACCAAAATTTTGAAATTGAAAGGAAAAAATTTGGGACTTTATATGTTTTTACGAAAGATACATAACATAACATAGATCCCCCACCCCCCGAATTTGAGACCTACAGTTAATTCACGTCGTAGACACTTAACAAAACTAATCAATACACTTCTGTCTAATATTTGACATTTTTTTAAAGTCTTTAAAAATGCAGCTTTTTCAATTTCCTCTCGTGGCAAAATGGTTTCGTTGGACTTTTGATCATTTACGGTAGCTTCGATCCTTACCATCGTAGATGATTGAGACTCATTGTCAATTTTATCTGAAAATTTTAAGGAACGTTCTTTGGTTTTACGTATCTCCTCACACAGAGATCAATGCATTACATTAGTTTATACACTTGAGACTATATTTAAAAATAAAATATCTACAGGGCGGAATATTAGGAGGAGGAATTTACAACATAGGGCATGAAATACATTTTGCGATACTTAATGTTACGGGGGAAACCCGACAACATCAGGATGTACATACGCCGTTTTTCCCGAGCGAGGGAGCGCGCCCGTTCTCAAAATGTAATTCAGCCTTTCCGTAGCGCCGTTTCATTTTGTGACTTCTCGGTGCGTTCGTTCCGTTCCGCGCCGGCCCGGGTCCCGGGGCGGAGGCGAGGAAAAATCATGGCTCTTATTCAAAGAGAACGTCATAAAAGGCAGCCATAAATCAGGGGGATCGGTGTTTTTCTCACCGGCTGAGAGGAAACACTGCGTTACCGAGGGGTGCACTGGAAGTTTTTGGGCCATGTCGTGGATAATGTTAAGAAGCTCTAACTTTCTCACCCCCCCCCCCCAACTCCGACCATGGTGGCCTTTGTACGTGTGCACGGCCCTCCTGATGTGTGAGAGCTGGGTTGCAATATATGAATATTAATTATTATTCTGCCGTGCAACGCAAAAACGTCGTATACGCCATTTTACATTTTTAGGAAACAATGTATCAGAGCAGAAATACGTGTGTGCTTTGGGACAATGTTTTTACAAATACTATTAAGAACTCTTCCTGAAAATTCGAGGTGCATGGGTAAAACAGGTTTTATTTTATAAAGTGTTAAGTTCCAAAAAACGCGGGAAAATCTTGATGGATTTACGGCGTTCTTGTTTAGCACGGCAGTATTATGAAAGGTTGAAAGATAGTGGATGGAGCCCTTAAGTGGCGAAATGGAAACACCTTTCGGAACAACTTTTTTGTGCAGGATTTCTGCTCTTGAAGGCGGTTTTCAAAGTTTTACATTGATCGACGAGCTTGGAGAACAAGGCGCATCAATGCAAATTTTTAAAAAATTGAGATATTTATTATTTTAAGGAAAACAAGTCTTAATGCGTATTTTGCGAAAAATTTGCTCTCAAATTCCAATTTTTAAGCATCAAGAAGTCAGCTTGGACTACTTTTTTGCCATGAGAATCCATGAAATTTCGAAACTTCTACACGTATTCCTCGAAACCGCAAATATTGCACTTATGCGCACTCAAAGAAAAAATCGCTTGAATCTAGAGTCCAGACGCTTAATAACATAGACAAAAAAAATACTCTTGATTCAATCCGATTTTTCATTGAATCTAAGAGCCGAGCCTCTTGATTTAAGCGGATTTCCCTTTGATTAAAGCAAAAATCCTATTGAATCAAGAGTATTTTTTCTTGTCAATGTTTTCAAGAGTCTGGACTCTAGATCCAGGCGACTTTTTTTTCCAGTGTTTGATTCATTCGCATATACTTTTTGGTACAAGCACTGCAAATTGAAACACGTTTTCATCAAATTCCTGTAGAATATGGCTTCAGCAATAACACTTGAATTATAAAAAAAAAAAAAAAAAAAAAAAAAAAAAAAAAAACATCGCCCGTGTGGGAAGTTAAAAAACTGTATATACTAGTATTTGTTGTGTATGTTTTGCCCTCTCCTTTCGAAGTCTTTCCGGAAAACGAAATTTTGATATGCTTGCAGCTCACCCGTTTATTTTGCCACTAGACGGACGCTTTCACGATTTAATACCAGCCACCCCCATGCACATACGGTCAAATTCTATGTTCATACGAGTGGTGTATCAGTTCTTTTTTTCTACGTTGCCTGCATCAATCATTGTTAATTTATGGATGCCCAGTCTTCCGTTGCATGAATTTCCCATCGACTTTGTTCGAGATTTGGCAAGGTCGCAAATATCTGATTCTGCGTTTGACACAGCAACGTTTTATTAATTCGACCGTTAAAAAACTGCACGTTTTTCTTTCTCTGACACGTTTCAGAACTAGTGGCAGCAACAATAAATTCACCCTTCGTGGCATTCCTGAAATGCTTGAATGTTAAAACTTCAAGTCGCCGCCCTAGGTTTCAGCATTAAATTTCGCTATTCGACCACCCCTCCCAAAAGATCAAAATTTAAAAGTTCTGACGTACGTGCCGATGAATCGGTCGAAAGTAATGGACCTGTCGCTTCCTTTCTACCCCCATGTCGTTTTGTCTCCTACTCACCCTCTCATTTTAAATAAAGTATTTAAACTCGCAATTGTACAAGTTCACGTTTGTAAGCCTACACATTTTGTAAAGATTTTTTGTTGAAAGATACAAAATATGAAAATTTAAAAGTGGCTTTCTTGTTTGATTTCAGATGTTGACGTGATGTGATCATAAGTGTAAGTAATATCCTTTTACGTTTTTAGTATAATACGGGTGCATTTTGTAGTCAATGCAGTTTCCGGTAATGGATATTGATGCACCGATAAAAGCATGGAGTTCACTTAGAATGCCTTATATTCATTTTAATATTCTTGAGAATAGTCGCACCTTTAATTCCTGCTAACCTTGTCTTTTTGCAGAAAAACAGAGCGTGGTGCACTTTCAAAGTGCACACTTTCAATACGTCTTATTGAAAATGTAGGTGCGAAAATTACTTGCATAATATTCACATTGAAAATTTTGTCTAGTTTCGTAACTAAAAAACACATCTTGTAGTCACTACAAAATTGAATAATACAGAATGCTTACGAATGAAAAGTTTAAAGTTTGGTGTAAATGAGTTTTTTTTTAGCCTACTCGAGATCTTCACAATATCTATAGATTCATGCATTTGTTTGATAACTGAGCAAAAGCTTAGCTTAGAAAAAAAATGCTGTTTTAATTCACTCATATCTTTTGGCAACTGTGCGCAATAGAGTTTGTGGGAGTTAAGTCGAACGGAAGGGTTTGCATGGTTGACTTCGGTCTGACATATAATAAAAGCGTATGTTTACAACTTACAACCCCGGTAATGCCAGGCCACCATACTCGTATCGTAAATCCAGAATGATCGTTGGGAAGCATTCGGTTCAAGCAAAGTTTGCGGATCAAGAAATGTCAACAAAACCTACGATCCCTTGAAGTCTATTGAATTCGCAAACACATCACGTTAAGAATGAATATTTATCACAGGGTGCCCAAAAGGCTGAACCTTGCATCAAATAACTTTTTAACGCCGTTCCGTTTTGAAATTTCAAATACATTTAGGTATCCAATGCGCAGTGGTGCCATATATGCAGGAACTTGCTATCTCAACAAAACTATGTGCACGGAGAAAAAAGCCTCGTGCATGGGACCTGAAGTTGAGGTCATATGGATATCTGAAGTTTTCGGATCGCGCATCCGAAAACTTGAGGTCCAGCTGCCGAAGTTGGAGTCAGACCCTGAAGTACTTCGGTATACACCGTAGGGTTCAGGTCGGACATCTGAAGTACTCCGGTACATACCGAGAGCTTCAGATGTCTGACCCGAACTTCGGCAGTTGGATCTCAAGTTTTCGGATGCGTGATCCGAAAACTTCAAAGATCCATACGACCTCAACTTCGGGTCTCATGCCCGAAGTTTTTTCTCCGTGTGCCGACTAAATGTGACACTCATGAGAAATGGGCATGTGACAAGGGCGTTGTGGACAGGGCTCATGAGTTAGTGACTCCCACGCGGAACCGCAGCGGCGGTTTCCTCGCAAGTGACGTCACTGGCGCTTTATCATTCCCATTCATTCTTACGGCCCTCGACTAACAAGCACACCCCTTCTTTCTCACCTATGGGCTGATTATTGAAATTGATAGACAAAGCGATAGACAAAGAAGACATAAGGAGTATAGAGCGATTCTACTGGTTGAGATGGGTGGTTCTCATAGAATTAGGAAGAGAATAATGGACTAACTAAATGGCCTCTCGTCGGTTGCCGATACTTAGTCTGTTACCTACCTCCTTTGTCCATTGCAGTCACCCGATTCCACCAACAGAATCCTTCCATATCCCTCCTGTCTTCTTTATCGAAAGCTTTCTCTATCAATTTCAATACCCTGGTAAAAATTGGCGATAAGAGCTGCGTTTCAAAATACCATAGGAATTCTTATAGCCGGCTAAAGAAGGCCACAGAGAATCATATAGCTGGCTGTAGAATGCGGAGAAAATCATACGACCGGGCTATACGAAGCGATAAAAAATTATGCAGCCGGGTTATAGTTCTTATCGCCGGGCTTTACACTTTCGCCTGGCTGTTGCTTTTTCGCCATCGATTGTAATAGGCTATAAGAATTGTGTAGAAATTCGTGAGCTTTGGAAATCATTAAGTTTGATACGGAACCACCTTAATATTTACAAAACTCACATTATATTTTCCTTTGATACATATTTTTTTTCATCAATTAAAATTAGAACAATCCATACAAGGTGTGCAAACATTTCAAAATCATAAGTTGAATAACGCTGACTCCGCCAGATTAAATATTAGAGCCTAACACAAAGCGGAGCGGCGAGGCGACGCACTGGCGCCTACAAACCTAACAAGGATACTTCACGCATTCCGCAACGCGTGAAGTATCCCTGTTAGGTTTGTAGGCGCCAAAGCGCGTTTCGCGCTGGCTGCCCGCCTGCCGCGCCGCAGCGTGCCACGGCGCTTGAAGCAAATATTTCACACCAGAGGTATTGCACAGTATCATACGAAACTGAAGGCGCTCTAATATATTAGTAATGGCAGGCATCCATCAAAAGTACGGAGCTCTCCTCGCAAAATAAATCAAGATACTACGGCCGAAAAAGAGAGCAGTAGTCCAAAAGCTCACTAAGTCCTAGCATCCGTAATTAGTAACGTTTAGCGTACACTTTATCGCCTGGCTGTTGCTTAATCGCCATCGGCTATAAAAGGCTATAAGAAATTGTGTAGCCGGCTACAGAAGCTATTGGAAAGCTTACAGCCGGCTGTACGTCTATGGTATTGGAACACAGATTCTACTGCCAATTTTTACCAGGATAATCGGCCGGCTGTCTCTGTTTCCGTATGGCAAAAATAGTCCATTCATTCATCTATGTATTTATTTTTGGTTCCGGAGTGAGCCCACTCCTTTCATCCAATTTGGCTCAACAGACGGATACCGCGGTGGCGTTTTCGCGAGATCGTGGCGCGGCCCGGCGGAGGTGGCGGATGTGTTTTGCACGACGCGACGCGACAAAGGGCCATCCTGAGTGACGCAACCGCGGCTAAGCCGGCGTCCCGACGCCCCGGACGCCCCTCTGCGCCGTCGCAGCGCTGGCGCCTCGCGGAGTCACGCCGTCTCCGGTCTCGTCGATTCGCCCTCGTTGCCGGATCGTGCAATAAAAACGGAATTTCGCTGGAAGTTCTTGGAGCGATCAACCAGATTGTGCTTTGAGGAAAGTGACTGTGGGCAATTACTGAAATTGATAGACAAAGCGATGGACAAAGCTATGGACAAAACGATACACAAAACGATATACAGAGCGATGAACAGAGGGACAGACAAAGCGATTGATCGATGCGCATGAAATTTGCGTGCTGCAAAGTTATTTTTTTATTCAATCCATTTTTATTTAATAACGATAGACAAAACGATAGAAAAACGATGTACAAAACGACATACAAAGCGATAGATAAAGCGATAGACAAAGCGATCGACAAACCGATAGACGAAATGATAGAACGATGCGCATAAAATTTGCGTGCTGCAGAGTTCTTATTAATTCATTTCATTTGTACTTTGTTAGTTCCTTTCAGCATAGTTCCACTAGTTCAATGAACTGCGAACCGACGCCGTGAACATTTTCAACGTTCATTTTTACATTGTTCATCCGAATGTATCCTATTCAGTTTGTTAGCCTTGGTGGATTGGCAACAGGATGGATAAGTCTCGGTGGTTGTTACAGGTTACGACATTAAAAGTTGAGACCCCCGTCTTCGTCCGGGCGCAACTTGACTTAATGCATCCCGGTTGCCTGGTGGCGTGGCGTGCTTTGCGATATATCGATTGCTCTGTCATTTAAACCCATGGAAAAGTATCGATGAACAGAGTGTTCGCAGCGAGCACCTTAATAATCGATTCTTTACCATAGCTTCTAATGGGGACATATCGATAATCGATCATTCACGCCACGCCACTGGATGCCTTGGATGCATTGGCGGATCCAGCAAATTGGCAACATTTTCTTTTCTCCATTTAAACCTATGGAAATGTATCGATTCTTGGAGGGGCCAAGTGCTCCGTCAAGAATCGATTATTTAGCATAAATTTAAATGGAGAAAATCCGGAGTTGCCGAATTACTGGATCCGCCTCTGCTTGGATGTCGTAGAAATCCGGCTGAATGTGCGTTTACATCTATGACCCTATCTTCTCCTATGAATGAGGAATTCGTACCGTGGTCATGCTTCAAAATCATTGGAATGTTTTAATTTACATTATCATATGAACAATTACCATGTCTAATATTATTTTAAATAATTTGAAAGATTTGAAATTTGAAAGATTTTGATAACCTTTGGTATAAATTTTGAAGGAGAGAAAAGTGCTGAATTAAATGGATTGCATTTTGCAAAAAGGAACCACTAGCATTGCAATGATGCTAAGATTGTGCAACTTCATCTTTTGCAATAAAATTGCGGAAATCGTGAAAAACTATGAAACTTAGATGGTAATTCTTGTCTTAAATTTACAGTTTTTAGCGAGTAAAATAGAAACTATATGAATGAACAATCGGGGTTTTCCTCCAAGACAAAAGAAGTTGCACAATCTTAGCAACATTGCAATGCTAGTGGTTCCTTTTTGCAAAATGCAATCCAAATGAGACTATGTCTGGAAATTTTTATTTTCCCCCGTTTCCGACAACATTGTAGGGATGACCACGATAAATTGCATCGCATTTACGCCGTGCCGCAAAAGATCTAATATCATGCATGGCCTTTTTCCCTCCTCCGGCTTCAGGAGAGAAGTCATCACCTGTGGGGCAATGACAGCTCATGACCGGTCATGTTCTGTGCCCGCACACTGCTGCCGTGTCAAGGAAAAACGCCGTATGAACATTCGAGAGTGGCCAAATTTTCGCTGCTAAAATTTTTATTTCCGACGAAACTTATGAATATTTTTTCTTGAAATTTTCAGCAACTGTAGGTGAAACTGCGAATAAATGAATCTAAAAAATTGAAGGGAAAATACCAATAAGTTCACCAGGGAATCCATGTTTTATCAAACGAAATTTGGCAACGTCTGATGGCGCATACGGCGTTTTCCCTTAGCACGGCAGACTGGGACAGCAGGCTAATCGGGACTAATCTTCTGCCACCGAGCCAGGTGTCCGCGGTCATTGCTTCGGTCTCCTGTGACACTGAGGGCGGCTAATTGC